GCGACCCCTAAGCAGGAAAAGCCGAAAGTGACTTTCTTTATATTTTGTATTACTGTAATCATTTTTGGATGAATAATTGGTTGTGGAATGAATCATCTGAGTTTCCATTATTTCTTGTGGGGAGTTTCACTTTGATATATGAGCGCTTTGGATTAGAGCACGTTGCCGGAATGAATTATACCTGTAATCCAAGGTTTCACTGTACATGCAGATCACACAAGTATTTCAGTACCAAAGAGGACCCTTGTTGCCTTCTCTATCTCTTACCTCTAACCTTTAGCTCTACACCTCCCACCCCTCACACTCCCACTTCAGACTCCTGCCTTCAGGGAGAAGGTATCGTAGTCTTCAGGCCCACTCCACCAGACTTACAAACAGATTCATCTACCAGGCTGTGAGGATGCTGAACACTGATCATTACTACCTCTGCTGTTTTGCACAAACCCAGTATATTCCCCCTTCTTGTTATAATACATGTAAATATTCTGCTGACTGTTTTTACCGTCATATCTGCTGCTGTCGGTCATTTGCACTACCATCCATGTGCATCTCAATCTCACAACCATATGACAATCTTCTTATTATTGTTTGCACTACTGACACTGAGTGTACATGGTTTTGAGTCACAGCCTATTAGGTTGTACCGTTTAGTTTTATCCTAATCACTTTGATTTAGTTTTCTCATTCTTTTTTATTCTATTTTTACTCTAGTTTTTATTCTATTTTATTTTCCTAAATGGTATGACATTCAATACTAGGTGAGAGAGAAATGGTATTTCAATTTACTGTATGTCCTACACATATAGTGAATTGACAATAAAAATCTTTGATCTTGATCTGACATACAGTATAACCTGAACCCACAGCTTGATATATACAGTACTAATTAACTCAAGTTCACCTCAGCCCAAGTCCTGTCCCTAAAATAACCCACTGTAAAAGTGAGGATGGGCCAGATGTCCTCACCCTGAAGACCTAAAACTTCACTAAGACATGTAGAGGGACACACACATGTAGAGGGACACACACACTGCACATATGAGCGCACGCACACACATACAAATACATACACGCAGAGTGATTTCCCCTGTCGTCTGATCTGGTTCACGTCTTCCTGGAGAGATAAAACTGGAAATAATAGAGAAAGTGAATAAATGTTCCCTCTCCAGCTCACTCCAGTTTCTTGCAGTATCCTCCCACACCATCCTCATGCACCTGTCAGAGTGGAGGTTATTCCATAAAAGCTACAGTGTACAATTATTTTGGGGATGTTTACTTGCCTACTTTACCAGCAGCCTTTATAAATTAAGCAAAACAAATAAAAACATGAAAATGATTTAGGTAAATTATAAACAAAACACGATGTTTGTAATGCTATTTTGAGGCTGACATCAATTGAAAATGTGTAATGAGATGCCAGAAAACATGTCAAAGAAACAAGATTGAACACAAATATAAAATCTGTTGTTATACAGTAACAAAAATATCATCTAGTCTGGCTGCTATGTCATATTTTTTACATTTTTACATTATAGTCTAACAATATAGTTTAAAGGTACACTGCTGAGTTATGTTCTTTTGTTTACATTCAGTGATAAATATCTTCAAACCATAAAAAACATGTTGAATGCATTTATTTTTCTTGTAAAACATTCATAAACTCATACTTTAAATATTTATAAGTGTACATTGCTTACATCAGTGCTTGCTAGCTTGCAGTCTTCCTCTCTGCCTCTGGGGGCACACTGTTATACATTTTTGCAGATTACTGCCACCAGCTGTCAGTCAGAAGACTGAACTGGTGGAGAGACTGTCTCAAGTAACCCACTACATGGGACCCACTTATAACAGCACTGTTCCATAGTGATATTTGTGGTCAAAACTCCACAGGGTACCTTATATAAAAGTTTTTTGTGACTCTTTAGCTGACTGTATAGACACTGCTATTTCTAATTCCCCTAAGAAAGTATGCCCATCTATGATGTTAAAGTACTCAGAGGTTTGTCTTGGAAGGATTAAAGGGATACACAGCTATACTAAAAGTAATTGGTATGTACTCATGCATGCTGCTACTTGTACTGTTTATACTTTATACTGTATGCATGTAAATATGTTATCTTTTGGTGTAAATTTTTTTATGCTTCTCAGTGCTTTATCAATCAATGTGCATTGTGTTAAGCACTTTGAATTAACATTGTGTATAAAAATGTGAGATATAAATATACTTGTCTTGCCTTACCTAACAGCAAACTTCCAGTGAGATACAGGATACAATTCAGTCTGTCTATTCAGGACAATCTTTTTCAATCTGACAAAAAATAAAAAATGAAAATGTCATATTTAAAGACATGAAACATTTAAAACTTCTATGTGAAAAAGTTCCCTTCCAAATATCTCAAAATCTGTCAGTGACATTGACCAGTAAATGCATCCCTTATACCTGGGCTGCCTAAGCATCAGTATTTCCACTAGGCTGTCAGAACTTTTTAACCTTAACTACACCCCTCTGCTTAAAAAGATAGAAGATGATTTCAAACGCTGGTTCAACCTCCCACTGTCACTCATTGGCCGAATTGCTACAGTCAAAATGAAAACTTTAGCACAAATAACTACCTGTTTTCAATGCTTCCCACAACAACAACAGATAAATGGTTCAATTCACTTAATTCTCTAACTTTGCAATTTTACTGGAATAATTAGAAACCCAAACTTTCTCTTTCAACACTGCAGAAGAACAAATCACAAGGTGGCCTAGAAGCACCAAATTCTGAGTATTATTTCTTAGCAAATCAATTACAATATTTAGTTCAATGGATTCAGAAGGATAGTTGTAATAGCTCATGGATAGAACTAGAACAAAATCAATGGAAAATTACTTCAGTTGCAGACCTTGCCTTCCTACCATACTCAATTAATAAAATGAACTATTTCAAAAATATCACAATCTCTGCAACTCTGACAGCCTGGGGGAAAGCAAACAAAACCACTAAATCATCATTAACACCATGTAGATACACTCCAATTTGGCACAACCCTGACTTTCAACTTCATAATAATCCCATCTACTTTCCAACATGGCAACACAAAGGAATCACTCACCTTCATCATCTATTTGAAAACAACCAGTTTATACCATTTAATACATTAGTCCAGAGGTATGGAGTTGGGAGAGGAAAATTTCTCCAGTACCAACAGTTAAAATCCATAATTAAATTAAAGATCAATATAATCAACAACCCCCTGCAACCTTCCATGCTAGCTGAGGAGATAATGAAATTTACAAACTCAAAGAAGATTATATCTAAACTTAGATAGAACAGTAACAATACCAATGACTAAATGGGAAATGGATTTGTCACTCCCCCCCATCCCCGACTTCTGGACCAAGATCTGTAATATTTTGTCCATGACTACCAATATAAACTTACAGCTTATACAAGACCATTCACAGCACTCACAGCACACAAGGTAAAATGTTTAAAATGGGTTTCACTGAAAGAGATACCTGCTCACAATGCACTCTGGATTGCGCCGATGATTACGTTCATGCTCAATCCATTTACTCCCTCTGGGTGGTGACAGAGAAACTCTCCACCATCTTGAGCTGTAGAATCCCCCCATCCCCGTCACTCTGCCTGCTCGGTAATGTCACAGAAGTCAACCACCTACCAATTAAATAGAAAAACCCACTTCTTATCTCACTAACTATTGACAAGAAAACGATCTTTCTAAACTGAAAATCAAAAAATTTATTACACATCAACCACTGGACCAACCTTCTTATAGAATATATCGCACTAGAGAAAATATCATCTACCCACAAGAATAATAAACGAACCTTTACTGACACTTGGAATCCATTTCTAACCACTTAACTTAAACCAGACACCTGAGGCTGAGGCCACGCACATTCCCACAAACTCCTAGAAATATAACAGGCTAGTTTTTACTTCATTATTGTTACTATTATTAGTCCTCATTGTCCATGCTACTGTTTTGAGTGTCACACCTATCAATCAAACCAAATTAACTGAGAATTTTACCTACCCCCCTTTTTTCTTTTCCTCTTCCCTCTCTTTCTAATCATTAACCGATCTCTTAATTTCATTTATTTTTGTTTTATGAATGTGTTTAGATATACTGTAGTTCATAGGTATGCAAAAAAGTTTACAATTACCAGACTGTAGAAAGAGGCTTAAATACAGTAGGGAATGAGGAGGCTTATGTTATCCATCTGGATTTTCAGCACGGTACATCAAAATATAAACATGAGTTTATAGCCATAAAACAGACTGAGAAAGCCTTGTTGGAAATTAAAGAAAGACGTAAGTGAAGTGGAAGGTATGAGATTACTTGATAAGGGGTTACACAAAGGCTTGTGGTTTTTACACCATCTTGTGGTCAAAGTTAATTACCACAATGATTAAATCAACGATGTGATGAGTTTGAAATTGGATGTGGCTCACAGTCACAATTGGAGAAATGTTTAAAACAAGCATGTTAAGATGGAAGGTATGGGAGAGGTGAATGTAAATTATGTGAACTACGAAATGCAAATAAGCAGCAAGTCTATCTTGTGAAAGTGAGGACACAAAAAAGTATTTACTGTGTAGTACATCACTTTAATGGTAATACTATGCACAGAAAAGCCAATATGTTCCAATCATTTGACTTTCCAGAATCAGTGATTGAAAGGCACAAAATGCATTAACACAAAGTGTTATTTCTGAAATAAAAGGCTGCATCTTTAGTTAAATACTGATTTGATTTTGACTAGCTTTTATCACCAACTTGGATGGAACTTGCGTGCACAAAAAATTAATAAAAATGTGATCGTCTTTCCTTTTATCCATAATATGTGAAGATGCAAAATTGCATTAAGGGTAGTTACTTTGGTTTGGATGCATTTTGACAGAAAATGTATTCTGAATTTGGCTTGTATGGGTGTTTACTTTGCTTGACAGCAAGGGTGAGAGTAAAAACACAATTTAAGAAATAAAGAGCTTACATAGAAATTTTAATATAGGGTCTTAAACAGAACAGACAGGCTCACTGTATTGGTTATGTAAATCAAATATTCCAAATAATCAAGCAGCAGACAACAACAACAATCATAAATGTTCCAATATTCTCTCAGAAGTGTCTACAGCACTGAACAGCATGTACTAAATGTCACAAACAGGCCACAGCAGCACTATGATGTCACAGATATGCAGCCTTTAACTGCCTTTAACAGTAGTTACTGTATGAATTAGCATAATTAAGTCAGATTTTTAAAACACATTTTTGAAATTTAAACTTCATGAGCACCGAGTTTTTAAAGACATCTAAGAAATATTCCTTGACCATCAGTGCAAATAAATAACAATGTAAAAATAATAAAACTCTCATCCTAAATACTCAATTATTACCATAGTTTCAATCTCAGCACACTACAAATTTAGTAATGTCTTGTATATTATTCAGTAAAACCAAATGTTTGGAATATTGAACATTTTGCTAACCATTTAACAAACTGATCTTTTAATATTGAATGTGGTACGACTTCAGTTAGAATTCAGTAAACAGTGAGACTTCTAACATGTTTTCAAAATCTAATAACATGAAGAACGTGAAAAAAAAGTCTCATTAGAAAAGGACACTGAATGAAAACCTTCTTTTGTGGGTTTTACAAGACTTTGGAAATAGTGATAATAGAAGTACGTCTGTCACAGGGCAAAGGCTTGTGATTGTTATACTGAAGCTGATTTAGGTGAAGGAAAAAGAATCTTATAGTTATTTTGGAAGATTGCTGTAAATGTTTTGACTTGGTCTAAGCAGTGTACATGCAGTGTCACAGGTTAAAGTCTAGATGAATTTTATTCACTTACACATTTTCTCAACTTCACTCACTCTTGCAGATCCAGTGTGGTTTGGTTTTAAAGTTTGAGTTGTTTTCCAGAGTTTAAATTAATGGTTTGATGTGATTCAGTCACATCTCATCTGTTGTTAGTTATTCACCTGATCTCATTATTCTTCATAAAATTGTCTTCATATGTGAAATAACCAGTGGTCTAAATACAAACCCTGTGTTGGCAGGCAGGCTGGGATTTCCAGACTTTGAGTCTTCTGCAGAAACCTTCATGTTGGACTCTTGCATACATCAAATATAAAAGGAAAGATCTTAAGAGGGAAAACTTAAAATCGGAACTTCTCCTGACTAGTATTAAGTGGACCGTTTCTCCACTCCCTGCTTGATCCCCAGCACCAGATGAACAAACCAGTTGATCTGAACCATCCAGCCTTTCTCCCTGCATATCTCTATCTGGTCCAGTAAGTGGCGTTGTGCATCATCCTCACTGCGGCCAACCGTCAGCGCCTCACGGATGTACTCAATATCCTCTTTACTAGTCAGCTGAGGCATGCCTGTTAAATGGCCAGAATACAAGGGTCTCATTTTTCAGACAAAATTATGAGCATCTACCTGCAGCAGTGAAAGAAGTTTACTTAAGGAAACGTAACAATACCACAGTACGAAGTAAACATAAAGTAATGGTATCAAAATATACTTAAAGTACCAAAATTAAAAGTACTCACTATGCAGAATAGCACATTTCACATTAATGTATATAATATTATTGGTTTATAATTATTGAAGCATTATTGTATACATCACTTTGATGTTGCAGCTGGTAAAGGTGGTGCTCATTTTAATTATCTATACATGCTTATAATCTAAGGTACTGCTGGGTATTTTGTTTCCCACTTGGTATCAAAAAAAGCATATGATTATACTGAATTTTGTAAAGCTAATCTATTCCGAAAAGTAACTAATAACTAAAGTCATGAGATAAATGCAGTTGAGTAAAAAGTATAATTTTTACCTTTAAAATGTAGTGTAGAGTATAAAGCAGCAGAAAATGAAAACACTCAAAAGAAGTACAAATACCTCTAAATTTTACTTAAATACCTAACTTGAGTACATGTACTTAGTTACTTTCCACCACTGTCTTTCAATATCTATCCTTTTATTGTTCAGTGTCTCAAAAATACATATTAAATAGCTGATCAAACTTATTTAAAATCAATGACAACAAAATGTTGTGAAAACTGAATTAGTGAGCAAGATTTAAAAAAATGTTCATGAAAAACTAAATCTATAAACTAAAACAAGGCTTTAAAACTACAACTCTTGTCATCCAGCTGCCAACAGGTGAGTCAAAAATGCAGTACGCTGGGTAATAACTGACTGAGTGGTAAAGGACATAATTTTAATCCGAACTCCACTAAAACATAATGGCAACAAAGGCAAAAAACACACAAGCAACTTTGGGCCTTAAGGAATGAAATCATACCAGTCATCAGCATCATGGAGAAGAGGATAATGAGCAGATTGGTGTGGTGCCGAAGGGCAAGGTAAGCCTTCACACAGACGTCCTGAGACAGAGTAAAGAGGATATACTGTACTGTACACTCATAGCAGAGATGTTAATATGCACTATATTTAGTACATGTGGGGAAAAAAAAATCCAATTTTGCGAACCTGGAATTTCTGGAAGTGGGGGCTACTTTTCTTTCCTGATGTTCCCATGACATACAGGAAGTCTGGTGTGAGCACAAAGGGGACCCACTCCTTACTGATTCCCATGAAGCTCTTATAATTCCCCAGGATGTGACCAAAGTCAATGTGGAAGAGATTCCCTGCAGAAACACAAAGGAACTGTATTTCCTGAGGCCACTCAGGACTTTTAATACCTGAAAAAAAGAATTCTTAAGAATAACAAATCTTTTAGAAATGGTATAATTCAGGTCTGTTATTACAGAATTGTAGCTGAATCATGCTGGTTTTGGCATTTTGTTTAAACTTGAACTTAAAACATACATAACAGGTTTTTAATTTGATCATACACTCACATTAACAACATGATTACGTTTGTTCAAACAAAATATTTTATAGATATTTCTTTTTAACCTACTTTTGTAGAATAGAAGAGTAAATCAGCTGCTGTACACTGTTTTTGTGTTAACTATCCTAAGAAAGTAACTTTCGGCTTTTTCCCGTTTAGGGGTCGCCACAGCGAATCGTCACACTGACGACTTGCATGTTGATATTTGGCACGTGTTTTATGCCAGATGCCCTTCCTGACGCAACCCTGACTCGAACCTGGGCTGCAGCGGCAAGAGCCTACCAGGGACAGCTTTTGTGTTAAGTATCCTAATCCTTCTATTCCACTTTCCTACAGCAGCACAAGTAAGTAGTGATGTAGACAATCTGGGAGTATGTGGAAGGTCCTAACATTGGAGGCTGCAAAGCTTCCCCAATATGACTTCATATAAATATTTTCAGTTTGCGCTACAGTGTGAAGAAAACAGAAAAAAGATGTCATTACCAGATTCAGTGATCATGATGTTGTCATTGTGGCGATCTCCAATGCCCAGGACATATGTAGCCACACAGTAGCCACCACAGGAGTACAGAAACCTCTCTACAGCCTGTTGGAACTACACAGAGAAAGGAAAGAACAGTTTGTCACATACAGTAATAAAAAACCTTCTTGCTAATTTTTCATGTCACCATTTACTCCTATGGCAACAATTTGGCCATAACCTAAAAGTCTTCATTAGTCTGAAATGAGATTAAATTGACGTGTCCTTGAGCAAGGCACTGAATGGATTCCTTGTGTCTGGAGAACTGTTGTGTGACTAAGAATAAAAAAGGCTTTGGTGCTGTGGTACTAGACAGCTCTCATCTGTGCAAGATTGTAAAATACAACAACTACTCTCTTCCATTAAATCTTTCATTATACAGTATTGTTCAAAATAATAGCAGTACAATGTGACTAACCAGAATAATCCAGGTTTTTAGTATATTTTTTATTGCTACATGGCAAACAAGTTACCAGTAGGTGCAGTAGATTCTCAGAAAGCAAACAAGACCCAGCATTCATGATATGCACGCTCTTAAGGCTGTGAAATTGGGCAATTAGTTGAAAGGGGTGTGTTCAAAAAAATAGCAGTGTCTGCCGTTGACTGTACAAACACAAAACTATGTTGTACAAACGTTTTTGTTTCTAGGATTTAGCAATCCTGTGAATCACTAAACTAATATTTAGTTGTATGACCACAGTTTGTTATAACTGCTTCACATCTGTGTGGCATGGAGTCAACCAACTTGTGGCACCTTTCAGCTGTTATTACACTCCATGATTCTTTAACAACATTCCACAATTCATTTACATTTCTTGGTTTTGCTTCAGAAACAGCATTTTTGATATCACCCCACAAGTTCTCGATTGGATTAAGGTCCGGGGATTGGGCTGGCCACTCCATAACATTAATTTTGTTGGTTTGGAACCAAGACTTTGCTCGTTTACTAGTGTGTTTGGGGTCATTGTCTTGTTGAAACAACCATTTCAAGGGCATGTCCTCTTCAGCATAAGGCAACATGACCTCTTCAAGTATTTTGACATATGCAAACTGATCCATGATCCCTGGTATGCGATAAATAGGCCCAACACCATAGTAGGAGAAACATGCCCATATCATGATGCTTGCACCACCATGCTTCACTGTCTTCACTGTGTACTGTGGCTTGAATTCAGAGTTTGGGGGTCGTCTCACAAACTGTCTGTAGCCCTTGGACCCAAAAAGAACAATTTTACTCTCATCAGTCCACAAAATGTTCCTCCATTTCTCTTTAGGCCAGTTGACGTGTTCTTTGGCAAATTGTAACCTCTTCTGCACGTGCCTTTTTTTTAACAGAGGGACTTTGCGGGGGATTCTTGAAAATAGATTAGCTTCACACAGACGTCTTCTAACTGTCACAGTACTTACAGGTAACTCCAGACTGTCTTTGATCATCCTGGAGCTGATCATTGGCTGGGCCTTTGCCATTCTGGTTATTCTTCGATCCATTTTGATGGTTGTCTTCCGTTTTCTTCCACGTCTCTCTGGTTTTGCTCTCCATTTTAAGGCATTGGAGATCATTTTAGCTGAACAGCCTATAATTTTTTGCACCTCTTTATAGGTTTTCCCCTCTCCAATCAACTTTTTAATCAAAGTACGCTGTTCTTCTGAACAATGTCTTGAACGACCCATTTTCCTCAGGCTTTCAAATGCATGTTCAACAAGTGCTGGCTTCATCCTTAAATAGGGGCCACCTGATTCACACCTGTTATTTCACAAAATTGATGACCTCACTGATTGAATGCCACACTGCTATTTTTTTAACACACCCCTTTCAACTAATTGCCCAATTGCACAGCCTTAAGAGCGTGCATATCATGAATGCTGGGTCTTGTTTGCTTTCTGAGAATCTACTGCACCTACTGGTAACTTGTTTGCCATGTAGCAATAAAAAATATACTAAAAACCTGGATTATTCTGGTTAGTCACATTGTACTGCTATTATTTTCAACAATACTGTAGCTCCTTCTGGAGGAATAAAAGCTTTTACGCAACTTTGTTTTCACATATGCAGTAGAACGTCCCAACACCTGTCAACAGACTTTGACACACAAAAAAAATCACAGGAGTACCCCTTTAATCATTATTTCTTACTCAAACATTTTTTTAAATTCATTACACAGTTAGCCAAAACCCAAGTTAAGGAAGTGTATTGTTTTCAAATGTCCATTCAAACAATATGACCCGTGTGATGACCATGTCACTGTAATACAGTACTAGTTCCATTGCTATAGCCTTGCATATCAATCAGTGTTAGCATAGCAGCATTTACAAAAGTCATGCTGAGTGCTGAGGACAACAAAGGGTACATCTCAATTCCTTTACCTGTATCCACATTTCCCTCACTTGTCTTTTCCTTGCATCCAAGTCCCTCACACATGCATGGAAAAAGAAACCAAAAATATCTTGAGACATGAGATATCCTTTCCTCCACTCCCTAACCTGAAGCATACAATCACTAAGTGATAAACAGGTGCGTCAGTCCATAAAAGACTTCCACAAAGGATGGTCTCTCACTCATGTCTTGTCTAAGCAGCCTCCTCACTCCTCCCAACATCAGCAAGAGAACTGAAACATCCTAGAAGATGGTGCAGCGGTACAACTTCTGGGTCAAGAAAGGGTTGAGAAGTAAGGAATGATCAGTTAAGAGAACTGGGATGCACCTCTTCGTCACCCATCAACAATGTTGTCCTGTGCAGATCAATGAAATCATAAAACTGAAATGAATCAAGTGAGAGTCCAACAGGTGTAGGACTGACAGCAGGTGTCTCTTGTCTCTTTGAGTCCAGCTGTCTCCTTTTTGATATCACCACCACCATCATCATCATCCAGATAGGCCTTTAACTTTACAAAAGTTTATGATAATCATCTATTTTTATCTTACGTTTGTGGCAGAACATACAGTATAAGAACTTTTAACTTGTAACCCTCTAGACCCATTTTTTAACTCATACAAGTTTAACAACACAAAGGGTGATGAAACAAACGGAACATAATACAAGTCACTTGCATCTCCAAGAAAATGACATGAAAGCATTTTTTCTTCATTTAACAAACATTCAGCAAATGTAAAATTCAAACTTCAGGTCAGCGTCTGTTGCACAAAATGAAAGTACTGGATGTAAAACTTTAAACACTTACTAACAGCAAACAGCATATAAACTACAGCAGTCCCCAGAAACAGATGCTGATTGAGCCAAAGACATTTTCATTTTGGTGAAAAGTGTTAGATAATAAAACCATGCAAGTACATATGTACTTCAACACAGTCAGTGCAGTTCAGTCTACTGCTAATCTAAAACTGACAAAATAGCAGGATGTAATTTCTGTGGGTTATATTTTGCAGGTTGTGATAGCACCCAATACCTTAGTTGCACAAAAGGTTTGGACAGGAAGGAGTCATACCAGTATTGTCTAACTAGGTTTTAAGTATTCTGCAGTCATACACTGTTGTCACTGAATTTATATGTAGTGATTCAATAGATTTATAAACCCTATATCTTCTATTGAATTATACTGAGAAAAACATTATGCCGTCCCTAGTAAACTGGGAAAATAAATAACTTTTTACATTTTACCATTTAATGCTTTTGAAATTCTAATAAAACATTTTTCCTGTTTGGCTACCACATATTTGGGCAAAACTAGTAACTTAGCAAATCTGATCCTCTCTGGGCCTAGGCATGCCCTGGGAACTAATGTAATCTGTAAAAATGTATTCTTATTAATTATTTTACAAAATTTTAGTGCTTCATCTTTTTGCAAACACTACCTCAAACTCACATTCAAACAGAAATTAAATTAACCATTTTAAAGCAACGACCAATTCAATGCAAATACACTGACTCTCAAGTCTCTTTAAAATATACATGTACCACTTGAGTCCTGACCCAGAGTTTAAGAGACTAGCAACTACAATAAATGACACCAGAAAGTGCCATGGAGCTGATGCCCCACTGTCAGTGTTCACTGTCAATCCAAAGGCAAATTCTCTCTCTCTTTGCCACACTAGATGACTATGCAAAAGCAGACCGGGTAAAATGAATTGTTGTGGGGTAACACGTTGGTTATTATAGGATTTGTTGTTGAAGTAGCTCCTAGTGGCCAATAACCCAGTGGCTGTTTAGGATACAGAGCCTTTTTGTTCCCTCTCAGAGCGAGTCTCAGTCCAGTCTCAAATAATATGTGGTTGTTTCAAATGAAAAAATATCACGTAATGATGTACTAAACAAAACCGCAGTGTGGAATGACATTTGCCTTCCTTAATTAAAAGTAAAAGTGTTGCAAAGTATAATTTTAAAAACAGAGCAGGAACACTGTTGTCATGGCTAAAAGTGCTGTGTGTGTGTGTTGTGATGAGCGGAAAAACCCTGAGGTTTACTTCCTTCTTGTCTGTTGCATTGCTACTTCCTCTAATAGACAGAATAGCAACTGAGAAAAAACTGTTCCACCATGACACTGAACCCATGACATATACTTTGACTTCAGAAAGTATTCAGAACCCTTCATTCACTGCACAGTTTATTGTTCTATAGATTTCATTTTAAATGAATAAAACTGCCATTTTCAATCTACACTTGAGAACTCATAATAAAGTAGAAATGTTTTTAAAAAATGTTGCTCTTTTATTAAAAATTAAAAGCTGAAATGTAACACTATGGGTGTTTCCAGGCACACAGCGGCCTCAATAATTGTTAAATGGAAGAAGACGTTTGGAACCATTAGGATTCTTTCTAGAGTCAAACTGAACAACCAGGCAGGAGGTGACCACTAATACAATAGTCACTCTAACAGAGCTTCAGAAGTCCTCTGCAGAGATGGAGAACCTGCTGGAAGGACGGATATCTCAACAGTTCTCCATCAATCAAACCTAGAATGTAGCTAGACAGAAACCACTGTGAGTAAAAGACATGTAACAGCCGCTTGGTGCATTTAAAGAACTTGGAAACCAGGAATCTCTAGTCTGTTGAGACAAAAACAGAATTCTTTGGGCAGAACTCCAAGAATTACAGTATGTCTGAAGACCAAGCACTGCTCATCACCTGGTTAATACCATCCCTATGGTGACGCATGGTGGTGACTGCATCATGCTATGGAGGGTGCTCTCAGCAATAAGGAAATGGAGACTGGTGACAACTGAGGGACAGAAGAATGCAGCCAAATACAGAAACATCACTGAAGAAAACCTGCTCCAGGGTGCAGAGACCTAAGCCTGGGGTTGCGGTTCACCTTTCAGCATGTTAATGACCTGAATCATACAGCCAGGACAACCCTGGAATGGCTTAAGGGCACGGTTTGGACTGTTTTTGAGTGGCCCAGCCAAAGCACAGACCTCACAGAACATCTGTGGAGAGACCTGAAGATGGCAGTTTACTGATACTTTACTTTGTAAAGTGTCTTGAGACTACTTTTGTTGTGATTTGGCGCTGTACAAATAAACTTGAATTGAGTTCAATTGAAACTTCCCATCCAATCTGAGGGAGCTGTGGATAAACTGCCCAAAAGATGACAAACAAGGAGTGCTTGCTGCAATCAGTAACTAATTTATAAAGGATAATCAGTGTTTCTCTTTCAAACATATAATGCAAAAAAATGTTTGCATGTTGTCTGCTATACTGAATCCCATGAGACTGAGCCTGTTGTACCTTGTCTTCACTGACACACTTGTCCCGCAGCCACTGATACAGGATTTCATCTTTAAAAGCTCCGGTGCTTCCCACAACACTTTGCTGAATGTTAGCAATGGTGGTGGCATCCTTCACAATCTCAATCATACCTACAAAAATAAAGACAGAAGGAGTAAACATTGCCAAATGACTGTAATGTTTGACTTGTTTTCCAGACCTTCCAGTTGTATAACTGACCTATTCTATTTCCTGTGGAGATGCAGCCATATGGTAACAGACAGAGATCTAATGACTCAGTCTCCCAGATTGATTCCATGATCAGCAGAATCTGAAAGAACCAAAGCTTTAGTTCAACCATTACTTACAAATACCTGGCAATACTAATTAAACAATCACCAATATTATTAACAATGATAGCTAGTAAAGTTTTAAAGTATCTCGGAGCACACAGAATATCACCATAATCCAAAGCAGACAGCATAGTGTCATATCTGTCTTTCTTCCATAATATGCTAACTGCTGTGTTACAAACAATGCTGCCCCTCACCTGCAGGATGAGCATATCCTGTCTGAGGTCATCACCATCTTTAAAGATGATGCCAATGGGGTCTTTGGACAGAGTGGTGGGGTCAGCCCTTTTAAACTGCAGCCACAGTGGCTTCTTCTTAGATGCCATCACTTTACACTGCTCAATCTGTAAGTACAAAAGTACTATTCTGAAATTCAGAGATTGTTTGATATTTCTGATGAGATCAGTTTAGCCATCTTTGCTACCGAATGCTGAGGTCACAGTTTCATTTCTCTGTTTTTTCACATACAAAACAGGCTTTCTATCTGATTTCATCCAAGCATTAGAGGAATCTTAAGATGTCTGAATGAAATATCTTTTGTTTTGTCCTCTTCCACTGATTGCATGAGTGTGTATATTTTTCCTCACCAGCAGAACCCCAGCTCTAACTCCAGGATCATAAGGGACTCTGAAACTCTCCGGCAGACCAGACAACTGCAGAGTCTCCAGCTTCTGACGCAGCTGAAACACCACTGACAAACATATACAAAGCTTTATTTTCGCTATGTGAAGACATATTTTATTTAAATCTTTAAACCATTAGAGATGAAATAGTTACACATACTGCAGTGTTACTACTGAACTTCAGTCTATGTTCTTATCTTATTTCTTTTGCTACATTTAATGCAGAAACTCATGTACATCATAGAGTTCAATAAAGCACAGACAAACTCTTACAGAGGTCAGCTAAAGTGCTTAGTTAAATGTAATTGCTTCATCAGCTGTAGTACTGAATATTAGTACATGTAGCAGATGCTATAATGGCTGCAGCCACAGTATGGCTAATGCTGGATTGAACATTTTTAATTGATTTCTGTATAACCTTAAATGTTCAACCTCACTTAAAGAGCCTTGTGTGTGTAATATACTTGACCAATACAAATAATAATAATCTTAAAGAGCCCATGGCATGCGTTTCCTTATTTTTCAACTTGCCTACAATGTTACAATCGTGAATTATCATCTTAAATGTGACTTAAAGCTAAAAAAATTAGGTGTATGTATGTTCTAGTACTTCTATGCAGAAGCAACTTGGTTTATATTGTCTCGCAAGACTCGCAAACTCTCACTTGCGAGACTTTTTTTCTAACAAAATTAAGTATTATGTGATAGTTTAAGGATTTCCTTGAATGGTCATAATCTCCATGCAGTTGCATATTCATGCCAGTTTGCTTGTCATCCACCAGTGCCATTGTAAAAGCGGAATTTTTTGACTGCATGCGATTTGGTGGATATATTTTACCTCCTGCTGCCTGTGTTGAAAAGTGTTCCCCCATCGAGATGCGTTTTCCCTGTTCAAAACTCCGTTTCATGTAGCACCCTCCTCAGTGGTTGTAGCTAGGTTAACTGTTAGGATTCAAGTTAGGGAAAACACATCTCGATACGGAAACAGATTTCGACACAACACAGGCAGCTGGAGTTGTGCACGTTCATGAACTATCCTCTCGTTTTTAGGAAGAGACTCGGGATTTATCATTCTGAAATAATTACAGTCTGTGAAACATGGCGGCGCATATGCACTCAGCGGCTCGGGACTCTCAGCTTTTTGTTTTTTTATTCGTACTTTTGTTCGTGTTTTTGTTGTCACCACAGTTTTCTGAAGCAACCATCCAGTATGGAAGAGCTGAACTACTTATTATTGGAAAGCAATACGAACTTTACGCATTCAAGAAGCTGGACTTTATTCCACTAGGGTTACACCAGACCACTATGGCTTTAAGCGGGGTAAGAGGAGCGGCCTGCGCGCTAGGCTACATGCTAACCCAAAGAGCCCGGCGCTCCCTATTCTCTTCCTCACAAACGCCAGGTCACTAACCAACAAAATAGACGAGATTCGGCTGTGGATTGTCTGACGGAGTATGGACAGCTGTGTGGCGATTATAACTGAAACCTGGTTGGATCACAACATCCCGGATGCTGCGGTGGAGCTGTAGGAACGCTCCTTGTTTCGCCCAAACAGACTGCAACATCTGCTAAAACAGAGAGATGGAGATCTGGCGCTGTACATTCACAACTTCTGGTTCACAGCTATGAGCATCATTGGAACACACTGCTCCCCCGACTTGGCAGTGAAATATCTGACAGTGAAATGCAGACCTTTTAAAATGGTGAGAGTGTTTTGCTCAATCCTGAATGTAGCCGTCTTTATAGACGCTAAGCTAGCGCTGGAGGAGCTGTACCGCCTGATCAGCAGGCAGATGAATAAAAACACAGAAGCAGCTGTGATTGTAGCTGGAGACTTTAACCGTGGGGAACTTAAAGCAGTGTTTCCCAAATTCTACAAATTCATCAAATTTCCAACCAAAGACAACAATATCCTTGATCAAGTTTATTGCAACATCCCAGGAGCATAAAAGGCCATAGCAGCTCCACACCTGGGCATGTCAGATCACATCTCTGTGGAGCTGATTCCAGCATATAAACTTCTGATCTGCAGGACAAAACCAATCACCAAAACAGTTAAGGTGTGGATGGAGGAGGCTTCTTCAGCATTACAGGACTGTTTTGAGCATACTGACTGGAGGGTGTTCAAAGAGGGCTCAGACTTGGAGGCTTATACATCAGCTGTTCTGGACTATGCGCAGTTCTGTACTGATGCTGTCCTACCTACAAAGTCCATCAGGGTTTTTTCAAACAAGAAACAATGGTTGGGCAGTATAGTGTCACCTCTACTCAAAGCTCGGGACGCTGCCTTCAGATCAGGTGACAGGCTGGCCTATAGCAGGGCCCGGAAAGAACTAAAGAAGGACATCCGGCTGGCCAAACGCAGGTACAAACAGCGCATTGAGGGGTACTTCATGAAAAACAACACACAGAGTATGGGGAGAGGCATCAAAACAATAACAGACTACAGAGGCAACAACCAGCAGGTCAGCCATGATCCCACCCTCCCTGACACTCTGAA